CACACACATTGCCATTTTTTTCTTCAGAATTTTCTTCTTGAGTCCCTGATGTGGAATCAACGGATATTTCTACATTATAATTTTTATGTTCTTCTAAATCATTGATCATTTTAAAAAAAATGCCTTTCCGTTGCGATTTTTTTTTTTTTTGTTTATAATTTCTTTTTTATGCGTTTTTTTTAAGTGTTTCCGACGCGCCTCTTTATATGTGTTTTTTCAATTAAATAATATTTTTTTTTTTTCCCTCTGAAATGAGAATAACAAGAGAATGCATGTTTTATATAGATTTTTATTCTTCATGTAGACTTTTTCAAAAATGCATATGTTCCATTGGAGCATATGAAAACTGGTTGCAAATAAAAAAAAAAAAAAATCTGTGTACAATTTTCCTTATGGGTAAAAAAATTATGATGTAAAATAAAATTTCGAGAAAACTAAAATTTTCAAGTGAACGTAAAATCGAAATGTCATTCCTATCCCTTTACATACAAAACTTATGGGCTTGTATTATAATGAATTATAAGCACAAGCATTCGAGCTGTACATATATAAAATACGTATTTATTGTAGGCATATGTGAATATGTATTTATATATACATGCATTACGTACAATTTTGTTCGACTTTTTTTTAATGTATTACATTAATTTTTCCACAAACGTAAAATTTATGAATAAACAATTTTTTTTATTTTTTCTCTACTTAAAAACGTTTAAAAAGAATTTATGCTTTTCAACAAATTGAAAAAAGAGTTGCATAAAAAATGTACAGATGTTTTGTTCTGAATTTTTCTGCAGGCTACTTTTTACGTTTATGTATAACCTATTTATATATATAAAATAACACCTTTTACATATGAAGTTTTTTTCTGTTGTATTTTTACTGGGGCGTGCATTTGTACAGGTGTTTTTTTTTTTTAAAGTTGCTAAAACTTTTATTCAAAAGGCATAAATACTTTTTAGCATATTTCTTAAAAAGGCAAAAGTGGCACACTTATATGGGGAATTTTATTTTTTATTTCTTTTTTGATTTTCGCTTAATTTTTAACTCTTTTGTTCAGATATAAAAATCTACATTGTGTTCCACATACTGTACTATAACTCATGCAAAATAAGAATTATAGATCTGCCATATCGCCGTCATTTTTTCCTTATCTTCATTTGCAACCCACTTGTTGGTGCACATGTACATAATTTTTTGCATGTAATAAATCATCACACAGTCCACAATGGAATGTAATGAACTCGATTCCTTAACATACATAAAAAACATTCACATTGTGTACTTATCTTTTTGTTCTATTGCATTGCTATAAAAAGTATTTATTTAGTGGACGGAAGCTTGAAAGACCATATGGATGATCGAACAGTTCTTGTTATTATTGCCTCTGCCTTTTTACAAGCATGTAACACTTGTTTCTATGTATGTGGTTCCATTAAAATAGGCTTAAGTTTTTTTACATAATAATTTGAGCAAGCACATTATAAGTTTACAAAAGGACATTTTTGGGGGGTCTTTTATCTTCTTCAATAAGATAGAACAAGAACAAATACGTAAATAAAATTTACACAGATGTACTAAAATATATTTAAAGGGCTTGTGTCCTCTGCTTTCGAATTTAAATTGAATGGCTTTCTTTGTGTCCTCTTTAAGAACAAATATTTTTTGCCGCCTGTACATGTCATTCTTCTTTTTGTATTAAAAAATACATGCTTATTTTGCAAAAATCGAAAATAACATTCGTTCTATTCTGAAAGGGGTATAAAAAGCATAATTTCCCTCTCATAAAGTTAATATTTTAAAAAAAAATTTATAAAACGTAAATTAAGGAATTTTATAAAAAGCAAAACTGTGTATATTATATGTTCTCCATTTTTCATGAAACATGCAATAAGGATTTTTTAATAACCCACATTAATGATAAGAGCATTATAATGAATACATGAGAGCATACTTTAAGAGTTGAAGATCTACACTTTATAAATGAATTGAAAAGATGCATTAATTATTTATGTTTAAGTACTGTCCTACGTTATAAGACATTTTGTTGTTAATAAATGGACAAATTCTTAAACAAAATATCTATTTGCAAAATATTTTACATCATTAACGAGTTCCTCGGACTGAGACAGCACATTGCACCATATTTTGTGCGCATCTGTTGCTTTTATTTTATGAACACCTTAAAATTTTCATTTACATTGCCCCATGTGTAGATGTATTATTCCCGCTTGACAACTACATAATGGTGTTATATTAAAAAAAAGAGTGATATTTACATGAGTAATTATGTCTGTAAATGTTCTTTTTCATAAATTACGAAAAAAAGAAGCACAGTATTTTACATAAATTTTGTTGTAATTAAAGAAAAAACAATTGCATATCCTGCACACTTGTAATTACATTCATGTATTCTTAAAAGAATGAACATTTTGCAAAAAATGGGTGTGAAGGGGAAATATCGTTTGGTTTTCAATTCCTATTATCCTATGTTTTTTATATCTGCTATGTAACTTTTTGGAAAGAAACACAAGCATTCTTCTGCATACAACAATCTATTTAATTCTGCACATGTTCCATAAAAAAAAAAAATTATCTGCAAATATCAAGCTTTTTCGTCCTCCATGAATTCTATAGCGGTAAAATTTAGCCATTTTTTTTCAAACAAAAATACCCAACTTAGACACAATAAAGATGTGATTTAATAAATGTGCTTTCATAAAATATGCTGCAAAAATAAATGCAAAAGGATAATTCACAGAAAGTAAATTTAGACATCGAAGTTAATACTGGGTCAACAGCAAAAAAAAAAAAAAAGGATTTAAATAAACTCCATAATCTTTATGGACACCTATGATCTTTCTTAAGTTCCTTTTTTGCAGCTTTTCAAGGTTGTATATTTTGTTCTTCTTAACAACATATGGATACATTTTAATGTGAATAACACGCTTGTAAATGCATTGCATTGTAATTTTATTTATTCCAACACAAAATAGACGGTGAACATTTTGTGTTGCACTTCTATGTTTTAAAAAGTATTGTTACATCTTGATAAGCGATAAGCTTAAAAAGAATATTTTCTATGTTGTGCAAATATTTTTTAATACTCGCCTTTATGTTGCTGTATATAACTGTAGCGTTGAAGCAGTGATTTTGTTTGCTTGTAATATTCTTTATTGTTTCAACTATAACAAAGATGAAAACATTTTAAGTTAAACATTTTTCATGTAGGTCTTTTCGCAATGCGACATTATATTCTAGGTCCATTTTGAGGGATGTGCAAGTTTTGCATAGTCAATGTTAATGAAAATGTTTTTCGAATTACACAAAGAGAATTTTGCTGATGAAAGATTGAAAAGTAAGCATAAGATCTACGCAGTTAAATGCATAGGACATATTTGCTTTGATTAATATATAAGAAAATTATATTTTTCTTAAGTTTGTTGTACTTACATGGATACGATTAATATAATTTTTAGACAATTTTACTTAAATTGCGCAATTTTCATATTGTGTTAACTCTGAATTTGATGCAATACACAAGTGCTACGCATTAGGATGTTCCGTTCATTATTGAATTTAAAGTTTTAAATGTTGTATTCTGAACAAATTAGGGCTTGTTTTGACGCCAAGGTTGAAATTTTAATGAATAAACGTCTCTATAAAAACGATATGAATGTAATAAGTATAACCTACAGTTGCATACATTAGCTTTATATTACTGATCACATTGTGTATATCGTGAGTTATAGAATTTAACACATTGAAAACAAGAATTTTTAACTATTAATCCTTTTTCTAAGCGCAACTGTCTGTTCTAAAGACGCCATGAAATATTAAGTCTTAGATATATTTATTCCATTTATGATGAAAATGGAACACTCACATAAAAAAATTATAGCGCTTGGTCATATACAACATTACGCATTAATGCCTAAAAAAAGACGTTTAATTATTCATAAATGAAAGATAATGCATAAGAGTTTTATCTATTTTATAATAGGACGTTGTTTCTATAAATTTACAAAAATTTTAAAGGTAAAAAGGGTCGTGTCGTGTATGTTAAATTCAAAGTATGTTTATATGCCATGAACTGTATGATATTGTGTTCAACGTTAATTCTTCGTGTCTAAAGGAAAATGTAACATAAAACATCCAACATGCATTCATTAAAAATTCATGCAGTATTCATCACTTAAGATAAAACTTATAAGTCCAAAAAATGCAAAAGCAGCTAATCAGTTGTTCAGCTATGTATACATTACGAAATTCCTAAGATAACGCAGTCTATTAAAGTAATAACACTATAACTGGAGATGCATAGTACACGCCTGATGTGTGAAAAGTAGCATTAGTTCTAAATGAATGTTGTGTAAATCGTAACAATTTTTTCCCCGTCATGGTGTACAATAAACAATTCCACAGGTGAAAATATTCACGCAATGCAAAGGCACAAAAGACAATTATTTTTTACTTTTTATTGATGCATTCTACAAAAAATTAAATTAAATGGTGCACTGTTCTTGGTAAAAAATGTTTTATTTTGTCTTTTTGAAATTTTTCTGTGGGACCCCGACTAGTGTTTGCTTATGATTGACCGGTATAAATTGTATCGGATAAAAGATAACTAACACTTAATAAACACATTTATATATGATGATAGGTCTTGTTCGGTATACACGTTAATTAAACATCTTTAAAACAAATTATTTTAGAAAAAACAAATTTATAACGAAAGAAATACCTTCTTAAAAGTTCTTAATCCAACATTAAAATATTATTTTTTGTAGCAAAATATAAATTACATAGAAGAATTTTTAACCAAAGGAAATATACAGTCAATATATTGACATTTGAAACTTGTTGAAAGTCACATCAAAATAAGTATTATTTACAGATACTTGCGACATGTTTACTTGAAAAGACAATAATAATAAACAATACGTACAATTAAGAAGTTAAAATTAATTATTTAACAGAAATTATAATTTAAAATAAACCTTAATAATAATGTGTATAAAAAATAAATGATTCACTCGTTTCTGTTATTATTTTTAATTATAAAGAAATTGTTAATTAAAACAAAATTATTTAAAATAAAAAAAAAATAAGTTGTTTATTATTTTATAATAAATTTAAAATTTCGTAACTATAATAATTATATTTCGTATAAAAAAAATATATTTAATTATAAAAATAATCATAAATAAATAATTCTTAATACAAAAAATTAATTATACATAACAATACAATTAATATAAATTATTTCTAAACATAAATATTAAAATAAAATTTAATAAATTAATTAATTAAACTTAATAAATAAAATAATTAATACAAAAATATATATTAATTTAACATTAAAAGAATTAATTAGTTAAATTAAAAATGAATATATATATGTAAAATAATTAAATTATAAATAACAAATAATAATATATTAAATACAATGTATATGTGCTAATTATTTAATAATAAAATATATTAATTAAATGTTAATATGTATAATAAATAAAAATAATTAAAAGTTAAATAAATTAAATAATTATTAAATGTATAATGCGAATTTAATTATATTATGATTAAATATAATTAAAACAATAATATATATAATTAATTATTTTTAATTAATTAATTAAAACATAATAAAATAAATAATTTTTATTTAATAAACAATATATTTATTATATATTAATTTAATTATTCAAACTTAAATAAATATGTGTAACTTATTTTAATTGGTTATATTAATATATAATACACACACGTATATATAATAATTATGTTCTTATTAATTTTCTTATAATAAATGTAAATAAAATATATATTAAATATTTAATTATAAAAAATGTAAATTAAATAACATAATAACTTTTAATTATATTATACTTTTTTGTATGTATATTAATAAAATTAAATAAAAATAATATTTAAATATAATTAAATTAATTTATTTTAATAAATATATTTCATTAATTATTTATTTTTAATTTCTTTTTAACATTAATACATCATTGTTATCATTATTAAATATTTTATTAATCAATTAAAATAATATAAATGAAATAATATATTTTATTTAATTATATATATATTAGTATTATTTATTTCAAATTATTTTAAGTTTAATTTTATTAATATATTTTATTAATAATATTATTATTTATTTTTATTTATTTAATAATTATTATTTTATTTAGTTAAGTTATTTATATTTGAATTATTAATTATATTTAATTTGCAATTTGATTATTTTTAAAATCTTTAAAATATTGTTAATGAATCATTTTATTTATATTAGATTAATTATAATGATAATTAACATATAGCAATTATGTATTATTATATTATAATTAATATAAAATAAATTTAATATAATAAATTAATGAATGTATTAAATTTATATAGTATTATTAATTCCAAAATATATTTATTTAAAATTATATTTATAATATATGTATAATTTAATTAATAATAAATATTTAAATTTAATTATTTTAATAATTAATTATGTAGTAATTATATTTTAATATATTTATTCAATAATTTTAATATTTATTTATATAATATTATTTTATTTAATATCGATTATTATTTTTAAATATATTTTTTATGTATTAATATAAAGTATGTTAAATAATTTTAAAAAATTACGCTTTGTATTTAATTTAAGTTTTGTTTTTTTATTATTAGTTTAAATTTTAAAATATATAATGTTTTTTTTTTTTTATATTATATTTTAATTTATTATATATATTTATTTTTATTTTAATTTGTCATATTTAATATATTATAATATTTATCTTTGTTTTACTAATTTAAATAATATAAAGAATTAATATATTTTTTTTTTATTTGTCTATTATTTAGTTATTAATATATTTATTTTAATTATTTTATTTTCCTATATATTTAATTTTTATTTTAAAATTATTTTTATAATAATATAAACTTATTTTTTTATTACTATTCTTATAATATTTTTTGATTAATTTATTATTATACATATAATAGTATATATATTAATTTAAATTATTGTTTATGTTATAATATATTTTTACTTATATATTTATTATTTTTTATTTAAATGGTAATATTCATACATAAATACATTAGACTTACTTTTAATTTTTATAGTTACCCTTTATGTTATTGCTAATGAATTTTATTATTTTATTATTATTACACTATTCTTCATTTCTTTTTAACATTAAATACATATATTAAGTAATAAGGGTATTATTAATGTGGTAGAAATAACATTTATTAAAGTCTTTTTTAATTATAAGTTCATTAACAGAATAAAATAGAGTGAAGTTTAGTGTAGATTGATATGTATATCATAAACGCATCAAATGAAAATTATATGCAAAAGATTTGATATTTCAAATAAAATTATGATGAATTTGTTTTCACTGAAAATTTTAATGTGTAAAGACCACAAGTTTCAGTTAATTGGATATTAACCATATGTTATCGTTACATTGTAACTGTTTTAGTATACTGTTTTAAAAAGGAAAACAAGCATAATTGACAATAGTATGTATTAGATCACCTCTCTTATAATATAAAGCCTTTTTTTGTTACCGTTTTAATATTACGTATATGCTTAGCGATATTATTCTGGGTCAACAATTACTTTATTATTGTACATGAAATGTTCAAACACTTTTGCAGAGAACACATATATGTCTTTACTTAATTAAAGAGAAACGTTTCTGAAAAAATTTTCTACAAAGAAAGAGCCTATATGTGCTTTATGAAATTAATCTTAATGTTCTTTTTATGCTTAAAAAGATGCAGACATGTCTTCTTTGCCAAGTTTGATTGATAAGTCTTTATAGGTCCATATGAAATATTATAATGTTACAATACATGTCTTTTCTTTCTGATAATGTCCTATTAACTGAGAATTAGTGAGTTTTAGAACTGTTGCAGTATTAATGCAGAACAGATTCAACAAGAAAGAGCACACATTAACACATTCTTTGTTTGGGGGGATAGTAACAAACGTATAATTTCTCATATATTTACCATTGGCATTGCTTTGAAGTTGTTCATTGCATGTTTTATGAAATAAATGTTCTCATCTATAACCTTTTTTAAATCAGCAAATAAAAAAGGGAAATAATAAAACATTAAAATGGGGAAAATAAACTAAAATGTATGACACAACATACGATAGTATCAGCCTGTATAACCAAGGGATTATCCTCAAGTGATATTCAAAACATGTAAGGGGGTTGATTTATCGCAGAAATGAAATACTTAATTTTTTTGAACTATTAACACAGATTCGTTAAGTAAAAGTGAAATATTTATAGTGGACATGTGTAATAGTGCTTTTTCGTGTAAAAATGTGAAGAACAAGTAGGAAATATATGAAATGTTCTTTTATTCAAAATAGTCCATTTACATACCTTCTTTTTTTTTTTTTGCCTTTCTTTTTTTCGTCTTTTCGTATAATGTTTCACAACATGATTTTATGTGGCATTCACATAAGTAATATACTTCAGGTTTCATTTCAAGATAACACGTTTTTTTTTAATGCTTTGGTAAATATAAAATTTATTAAAAAGTTGTTGCGAAATCACTATCATAGTGTACGAACAATAATATATACACGTGATGTTGCCACTGCACTTAAAAAAGTGTGTTGATGATAATTCGTAAACCTTAATGCGCCTCAACATTCAACATTTAAAATTCATGTATGTGAGTGTCCGCATATATTTGATACATTGTTGTTATGTTCCCTAATTTTAGTAATGAATAATACTAAGGCAAATATTGAAAATATAAAGGTCCTCGTTATGCTGGAAAGAAAAATGGTAATTACAATTTTTTAAAGAACCATATTGGTATTGTTCTAAAGACCCTGTTGCAGTTAAGCTCTGTTGCGTGAAAAGTATAAAACGCAATAAAAACGCTTTTAAGATTTTTAATACATGTGTTAGAAATGCGCAGAAGAGTTTGTTATGTGCTTAATGTTTGTTCTTTATTAGGTAATAGTAAGAATAGATACCCTGTAAATTTCCCCTCTTTTAGAAAATAAGCATTTTGGAAAATAAGAATGAAGAAATTTATCATGTACACCAAATTATTACATATTTTACAGCATTAAAATAACAAGTGTCCAATGAGGAATGCACATAAACATGTATATAGTATAAACAAAAAGTGCTACTTTTATGGAAGAATGCTATTACACAAATTAAACGTCTGTATTCCTTTCTAGCGCTTGTGTCTACACATGTTCTTTGTGTCATTTCAAAGATAGTAAGGGGTTCTATAAAGCAGGTCAAATTAGATTAAAGAACCAATTTAATATATTTTACTCCTGCCCAATATGTGGTCTAACACAAGGCAAATAGCTTAATTGTTATTTAGATAAAAGAATCGTTTTACACCAATAGGAATAAATACTTATTTTAAAATGAGAACAGAAGTCTTGTATAATCCATTTAAACAAGCACATAATTTTACTGCTACAATTATCAACAGATAACACGTTCATGCAACCTTTCTGAGATTTCATTATGTCCACTTTCTTACGGTTCTTTTTCTTACCGTTTAATGTCATAAATGTTTTATCTGTATCTACAATTTCTATAGTATAACCTATCTAGTTTGTTTAACATACCGCTGTTTTAATACAATTATTAAATGAACCCCCTACAAATTCATAATTTGTTTTGATAAAAATGAAGAACCCAGACACAGAACAAAGCAAAAGCATGAAAAATTTAGCGCCTTTACAGAAAAGAAAAAAAAGGTTTTGTATACTCTGAAACGCGATTATAACGCCATAATAATACGATTACAAATAATTTTGACGTTTTTTTGGATGAATTAATTGAATATTTGAAAGGGACTAACAGAACAATTGCGCGTTTATTTTTGCTTTCCTGTGCCCATTAACACCTTCATTTTATCCGTACATATTACCTTACAGTGCGCCACCGCAAAATTTGAATTGTAAATCTAAGTTATAAGCAGAAAGACATAGAAGACAGCACATTTAAACGTACATTTAAAAAATGTGTGTTTGACAATGTAAGCGTGATGAGCAATTTTAATATGTTACATATGCGAATGTGTGTCTTACACTTCTTTTGATGCCCTTTTGTATATTCCATATATGTATATATAGTTACACTAATTCTTTTTAAAGACCAAGAATAACATAGCTGCATTAAAAACAAATGTGCATTCAATGAACATTGTCTAACAATTGAATATTCACTTTTTAGAAAGTGACAGAAGAACAAAATACAAAATAAGGAAAAAGAAGAAAAATCAGGTTTTTCTTTTCATCTTCCGGTTTTTCATATTGTGAAATATTAATAATTAAATAATACACGTACATTTGTTTTATTTGCTTCGTCTAACTTCGTCCATATAAAGTTTTATATTCATATTAATATTTTTTGCTTGTGTAAAGTATATTTGTTTTAATTTTAAGCATGTGTTTTTAAACCGAAAGTACTTTTTTTTTGGGGGGGGGGGGTGCACACGGCAAAAATGAATAGATTTATTCTGTAGTATGGAAAACAAAATGAAACACTTAAGTGCACCATCTCAAATCTTTTTTAAATTTAAAAAAAAAGAAAAAAAATTTAAGAATTACATATTAACAAAATATTTTTTTTTCCCCAAAATATTTTACACAATTAAAGAGAATTTTAATTATAAAAAAAAAAAAAATGTAAAAATTGTTATATTACAAGAAAATTATTTGACAATTGTTTTTAATATCTTACTGTTCATTTGCGTTTTTTCTTGGTTATTTAAAACTATAGTATGTAAAATTTGAAAAATGAAATTTACGGAGTAAGGCTGCAGGGAAAAATAAAAAATGGTAAAATGTGTTAACGCTTTAATTTAAAGCACAAAAAAAAAAAAAAAAAAAAGAAAGGTAAAACATTTGTGAACATCGGGATAATTTGAAAAGCGAACTCTTTTGTGTAATTTGTTTAAATGTAGCACTGGCTCAATTTCACTATGTATTGTCTATTGAAAAATGCATTAAACTTCGATAAGTTTAAGAACATCAAAATTGACTTAATTAACAAGGTAAAGGCCTCTGACACTACAGATTCTCATGAAGAAAATGAAGTATTCAACCTTTTAAAAGATAAAGAGTTTTTCTCTGAAGAATTAGAACTGAGTAGACATAACAATTTGGAATGCACATCTTCACTGAAAAAAAAATTGAAACATATTAATAAATTAGAACGGCATTTAAATGATATAACGAACTTAAGACAACTTGAAAAATGTAGGTTATATAAAGACACAGGTAGAGTTAAAACAATTCACAGGAGAACCGTAGGAGTTTCTTCATTTTTAAAAAATGGGCATGGTGATGGTTATGACGATAAGAGCATGGAAATGTTCAATAGCAATGTTCCGCTCTATGGAGAAATCAAAAGAATGTATAAAGATGTGTTTTGTAAAACAGTGTCCAGGAGGATCCAGAAAAAGGGATTAATAAGAAAAACATTTTTTAAAACGTTCATGTTTAAGTTCATTTCTGAGTTAAACAGTAATAGTGACAGGAAGCATGTAGACATAACTAAATTTGAGCTGACAAACGGAAAATTAATTGCGTATGTTCACTGTTATAAAAAATGGTCCCCTGAGAAAGTGCACCATGTTAGAAATGTGCAGATTTATTTAAAAAAGAAATTTTATTATAAATCTATCATTACAAAAAAAAGTGTTAGTTCTATAAAAAGGAATAAACAAATGCGAACGTACTTAAGGAGGGAAAAGTCCGAACGGTATTGCGATGATAGGAACCAAGTTAAAGGGGGCTCCAACGAATTGCATAATGCACCAGAAAAAATATACACAAACCGCGAGAAAGATCAAAAAAACGAATTTAACAATTGCTGTACCCATAACTGTGAAGAATCGTCCTTTTTCGTGAAACCACTTGAGACGAAGCAGCTTCCTAACAAAAATGATGCTAATTCTGTAATGGCAAAATGGAATTGTTTACAGTCATCTGCAGACAAAAAGGTAAGACTTAATTTGCACAAGTGTCGCAAAAACTGCTTCTCCATGAAGTAGACACCTATTGAGAATATAAATATATTCGTAAGAATAAGAACGAATGATCGTTTGTTCTTGTTAAAAATTTGCATATATATATGTACTTGTGCGTGCTTTGCAAAATTGAGGTAAACAATTAGGTTCACAACGGGCAATTTTACCTTTCGCAGGAATTTGACAAGAACACAGGGAGAAATGCTTACGTAGAGTGTGTTAGCAGGTGCGGAGCTGCAAGCACGAGTGAAACGGTCAACACTTTAATAGAAGGGGGATACAGGGAGAATTTAAAAATCCACAGCTTTAGGAAACATGGAAATGCAGAAATGAATGATCTGAATAAGAATAAGGAAGTGTTCGAAATTCACAATTCGGAAAACGTACATAAAAATTCATCAAGTCAGAAAAACAAAAATTGGAATGAAATCCGCAGAGTGAGCAGCAATGACCAGCCGAATAATAAAAAGGAATTTAAAAGAATCAGGGACCCCCGTGTTCAATTTTTCAGCAACAATGTTAACTTTTACGGGACAGTGATTAATGAAGAGAAGTGTGAAGAAGAAAATACAAAGAAGGATGATAACCTTTCGGATCAAAATATTATGAAAAATGGAGAAATGAACGAAATAAAGCAGAAAATCAAAACAGCGCTAACCAGCTTGAATAATATAAGAAAGAACAATTATAAGTTAAAATTTTGTCTTGAAAAAGAAATTATAGATAACACCATCCACCAAAATGAGTTAAAAAGAAGTTTAGGTTCCGTTTTTAGTGAAAATAGTACACATAACAAAAGTGCGCACGTGGGTCGAAATTACCCCAACCGGGGAAGTAAAAATGTAGACAAGCACAGAAATAGTACAAACGATGGTGACAGCCATCACGGGCAAAAGGCTAAAACGCAAAGAGAAGAAAATGTACAAAACGGTTTCTGCAATCATGTTAGGAGCATAGGCGAAAAGGTCACATTGGAGGGAAAAGGCGGCAGTGGTTGCAATAGTATGAGTTGTGAAAAAAAAAAAAACGAACATCTTCACTCAATTGAAGGTGTAAAATTAACACGCACTGTTATAAAAAGTAAACAAAATGAAGCAAAAAACAAATTAGTCAGTGAGAAGCAGACTCAAAGGAACCACTTTAACGAATCTAGGGGCACCGAACTGGTTCAAAAGCGTTACACAAATGGGAAAAAGGAGCAAAATATAGCAAAAAGCGACACAAAACTGAGCGATCGTGCATTTACATTAAATGGAAAAACGCGAAATACACATATCTGCAGTGGTAAAAGTCTGAAGGATGAAGAGAAAAGTGGCACTTTAAATAACACCCCAAAAGTGCATACTTGGGAAGTGTCCGTTCAGGCAAAAAAGAACAGCTTAAAAAATAACGAAAAGGAAAAGATTCATGGAATTGACGAAAAGGTGCGTAGTACGTTTTTAGGTCACCCAAAAAACAAAGTTGAAAAGGTAGAAGCGCAAGAAATGGACAGAAAAAATGAATACAGCAAAGTTGGAGGTAAACATAAAAATTTAAGTGGGGTGAACAAATGGACAAAGCAATTTAAAGAAAATAATAACTACGAGGATAGAAACAAAAGTAAGGAAACAATTAAAAATGTTGAAGCAAATAATTTGAATAATCCCTTGGATGATGACAAAAGAACGCATAACATAGTTGCTAATTCGAGGGATTGTACCAAAAGAATCACAGCTTCACAAGAAATCCTTTGTAATGAAACAAATAGGGAAAGGAAACAGTTTGACCTAAGTAACGTAAGAAACATAAAAAAAATAATAACCTGCGGAATATATGTAAACAAAGAGGTGGACCGAATAAATAAAAGAAACAAAATTGCAATAAGCATAATTGAGAACTATGTAGAAAGCACAAATAGGACATATTCATTTTTTTCCAAGCAAAAGGAAAAAAAGGCGTATCTTCGGAAAAATTGTATACCTGGAAGGGAATATGACAAAAAAGAGGCCAAAAATTTCCCAGGCTTGTATGACCATTATGCATGTCTACTGCTTAACGTTAAAAATTGCAAAGTTGTGTGATGTGAGAAAAACCGTAATGGTCTTAACAATTAACACTTTTTTTTTTTTTTTTTCGTTACGCTGCTATGTTTTAGTTATTTGTTTATGAAATGATAAAATTAAAATTATGACTTTTTTTTTCGATAAAGAACAGGGAAGGTGATTCTTCCCGCGTGTTTGTTTTTCATTTCCCTTTTTTTTAGAGTACTAATTAACTACCTCACATTTTGTGTCATTTGTTAGCAGTTATAAAATATGTGTATTGGTGCATTTGCACCATTCGACAAACTCTTTTTAAGTATCTCAAAAAAATGCACAATGTCGTTATAATATGTTTGTTCTTATGTAACCATTTCAATGGCACTGGCAAACTTGTATAACACGTTCTGTGTGATCCACTAAAAGAGTAAGCATTCGAATTGGTTCTACCACGTTGTAAAGGGTGATAAATGTTTAAACAACAAATTACAGACTCATGTGCAGGAAAAATCGAGCTCGTTTTTCTTCAAACACTGGGAAAAGGGAACGCACTTAAAAATGACCCTCCCAGCAATTGGTAGCTTCCTTTTTTAATCTGAATTTGTTGAAAAGTAGCAGATACATGTTTTGAAAAGAAACAAATTTGCCCTCAATAGGCGCATACTTGTGTGTAATTTGGGCCTTTTAAACAAACACTAATGGTCATGCATTTTTTGCCTTTTTTTCTCCCCGATGGCTCAAAACGGGCAGTGTTTATAAAGGCACATTGTTACTTTTGTACAGTGTTACTTTTTAAAATTATATATATATTTTTCCCCACAAAAAAAATCGGGAAATTACGACAATTGCGTTGAAGCCTTGTGCCAAGATAATAAAAAAAACGTTACTGTCTACACTCACTATGTGCATATAACACCTATCAGGGATGAAAATGAAAAGGTACAATTTGATGTAAAATATATTGCAGGAGTAACCACGAAAATGGTGCACTTTTTTTATGCGTAAAACAAAAAAAAAATAAATAAGGAGCACATATTTGCGCCTGCACATTTTACTGTGTGCCTTCATGATCATTTTGCTATGTATTTCATTATGTTTTTACTCTTTAAGAAGGCAGAATTTTTTTTTTTTTTTTCCATCATATATGTGATTGTACATTTTTGCAATACAGTGAGTATATGTTTGACGAATGTATACATTGCTGAATAAAATTATTTGAAAATGGCAAAAAGGGTAAATTAAAAGTGTTATATAGACATCCCTTTCAACTTTATAATGGGTACACTTTGCATTTTTCGGTAAAAAATAAACTCACGTGTACCCTTGTGTTTACATTTACGTCAGAACAGTTTTGCTCGGAAAAAAAAAATCAACTGAAACAATGTTGACGAGTAGGAATTAAGTCTTTTGCATGTGGGACTTCAAAAGATTGTCCATGCGTGCCTGCGCTTGGGGGGGTACATACATACACATATACACATGTATGCATTTTTGTGCGTATTTTTTCATATATGCTCATACGCGTGCGCGAGCACCCCCGCCGCGTTTGCCAAGCGAACAAATCAGGAGAAAGCAAATTTCCCTCGCGAGTGATGAACGCGTTTTTAGTGCGCAAGCGCGTTGGGCGTCACCTATCACGCAGAGCTTTCATCCTCCCCACCCTCTAGTATTAATAAAATAAAGCAGAAAGCTTAATCCGTTCTCAAATAAAAACACATACCATGGTCTCCCATGCATGCATGTGGGGACCCCACTTGAAACTGCATACAAAATAGCACTGTGACAAAATGAAGAGCAATTCGATCTTCGAAAATCTGAGCGACTTCTCAAGTTCGTATGTGGACAAAATTCACAGGAGCAAAGAGGACGATGACGCCAATATAGCCTTCCTGTGCAATAGGAAGGAAGCAGTTCTACATAATAGAAGGGTGAACATGGATAATTTACTCATAAACAATGAGTACAATTTCGTACCCCAGTTAGACATAGTTAATAAGCACATCGCTGTGAAACCGTACACACAAGACGTTTCTCATCATGTGAGGGGAACTAAACGGAGTGACAAAAGGTTTGGTGATGCAGATGCGGACCCAAGCCGGCAAAGGGTGCGGCCGAAAATGGCCTCCAAATTGCTTCCCCCAGTGGGGCAACCGGTAAGGAAAAAGGCCGCGCACAATGGTAGGCAAAGGGTTAAACAAAGGATCGGGCAAACAATGCGAAACAACTCAGAACAAGAGGTGGGTCGAGGGACACGACAAAACACACCTCAAGCGGTAGGACAAAAGAGTAGACATGGGGAGGAACCCAGGGAAATACATACAAACGAACGGGACCAAGATGTGCTCGAAGAAAAACATCTCAGGAGCCCCACCTCTTCCTCGGATTGGTATGACAAAAACATGTACAGAAATTATTATCTACTAAACAAAAGTTGCTCATACTTAAAGTCCAAATGTGATAGGGATACAGTTTTAGATCCATATAGAATGGAGGTGGAGGAACGGATCAATGGAAACCACCAGTTTAATCTTCGTGATGAAAATGATGAGAAAGATGGTCACATGTGTGCCCAGAGTTATCCTTATGATAAAGAAAAAGTGCGTAAAAAAAGGGCGTTTCATTTCAAAATTGATAAGGAAAAAGCTTCTGATTTGGGAACATATAATGGTAGTATGAGCTCGGACATGTTATTATATAATAGCGAATATGATGATGGTAAGTACCCGGATAAAACAGAGACATATGATTTTTTAAAAGAATGTGATTATGAAAATGGCACAAATTCTGCGGACCGAACAAAATACGACGATGATGGATCATCTCTCGAGATGCTACACACTCTTGAGTACGAAAAGGACACCAACATTTCGGATATAAAAAATTTCCCCGTGCGCACACGTTCATACAGACACAGAGGAGAAACGTACGCGGAAAAAAAAAATATATCATCAAGTAGTAACATGTCTCAATTGATGCAAATAAAATATTTAATAAATAAAAAAAAAAATTCATCCAACAGAAAAAATGGAAATTCCCCATTTTATGATTATAAAAATAACAACACATTTGTAAAATTGCTCATGACTGAAATAAAAATAGAAACAAAGCTATACAACTTAATTTTATTTCTGTTCCTGTTGATAGTATTATCACTCTTTAAGGATATATCTAATTACATAGTTATTACAAGAAAGTGCTACAACATATATGAAAATCCAATAAAATCAATTAAAAGAATATTAAAATGTGTAATTTGGGCTTTAAAAATTGGGTATAAATGCACTTCTCCATTTATTCTGTATATGTTATCATTTTTTGGTGTAATAATTTTCCGCACTTTTTTACTTCTCAACATTCCTATCTTCCTTTTGTTATTTTATTGCAAATTTTTTCTGAAAAATGACGATTCCTCTGTTAAGCTATACCTCCTTTTTGTTGTCAACATATACAAGTATATTGTTTTCCATTTTGTTCATATTTTAAAGAATTATTCCAATAACATTTGTTTCCGTGATTTTTTGTCCGTCATTTGTGTATCTTTTCATTTCATTTTTTTTTCCCTCTATCGAATTGTTCACAAAATTTACACTAATAAAGTTCGATAAGTTTTTTCCTTCAAAATTGGGGAGCGATAGAATAGCATATGTGTGTGTCGGGGGGGCGGAGTGCGTATCAATATGCACAGCGCTAATTAATATCGCATATAAGCTTCACTACAGACATGATAAATGAAACTTAGCAGGGGTAATCGTTCCCATCAGGTGAATATTTCCTCATTAAAAGCTACCAAAAATAAAGGCAGGGTCACTACCCCATCTATTAGCTCGCACGTTCATTTGCACCTTTTTCCATTTTCCCTCACCCCTTCCTCTTTTTCATGGCCTTGGAAAAATGCGCCCCTTAAGCTGCATATGGCACACCCGAAAAAGCACACCACGCGAGAAATTGTGTGTCCACCAAAAAAATGTTACAGAGTGAACCATCCCACGGAGGTTCCTGTCATCTGTGTAATAGCGCCCCGGTGGGGTTAACCTTTTTTTTTTTTTTTTATTGCACCCTTTTTCGCATCCTAACGTGGTATCATGGATGAGTGTTACTAAAAAAGGAATAGAATCGACGACTTTTAGCTACACAGCAAATTCCACATGCCGTTCCTAACTTTGCGAATTTTAAAACCCGCTTAACAAAGAGAGGGAGCAAAAATGCGCGAAGAAAAAAAGAGGAAGATCGTTTTTACACTTATTTCCTTACATGGATATCCACACATGTGCGTGTAAGCATTTGTGTTATAAATGTAGAGCCACATCTCTATCTAATTGGTACAAAGCGCATGAAAATTTCTTGCAAGGAGGTTCCTCCAAGTTTTGGAAAAACGCCCCCACCCTTTAGCGTTCATGTTGAGTAGTACATATTTGAGCTACTTTAGAGAATTCCAGAGAAAGAGCTTAACATGGATACTCGAGTGAATATTGTAAATTCGATTATACTCTCATTAAGACGATGCACGAATAGGATTAAGTGTAATTTTATCCCTTCCCACGCACACTCATTTGTTGTGGCTCGCGTTCATGCGCGTCCATGTGTTGTACATATATGAATATGTCAAACATATGTGTGTACCCCCACATGTGCACACCTACAGGCGAGTGTCCATTAATTGCCAACCCCCCTAATACTTCCCCTCCACTTGCAGATGTGCTTCTGTTAAACGAGCTCCTTTCCCTCTTCCCAAGGCACGCCGAAAAGAGCCTAAAATTGTGCCTAAGGTCTAAAATTAAAAAGTACACCTTGATAAAGGAGAAGCGTCCTGCGAAGGATTACGTGTTGTATCCCAATCAGTTCAGGGGAAATGGCAAAAACGCGCGGTGGACAAGTCATGACGAATGCTTAAGTGATTGCGCCGATGTTGTTACAGCACAGAAAAGGAAGGGGGCTTTACGCGAACATGTATTTCCTCACACTAAGAAAACGAAAAAGAAAAAGAAAAAAACGCGTTTGCATTTTTTTGTAGTTTGTGGAAATAACAAGAAATATCTCGTGTTCAAAAATTTCTGCTCATGTTTTTATTTTAAGCAAAAAGTTTTGTGCAATCATACGGACATAATGTGTAAGCACATTTTGTCCATCCTCCTGGCGCAGAGCTTCAAAAATTACGTAAACATTTTCCTAGATAAGAGTTTGTTTTTTGAGTGGTTCATGATGAAGTTACGTGGTTGATTGGAGCCCCAATTTTGGTCAAAGGTGAACCGTGTGTAGGCATCGTTACCGCAGCATGCGACACATACATATACTATGCGCAGAACCCAGCTGCATACACATGCTTTTTTTGTACATGCTTATTACGTCTGTTCCCCCTGGGGGAGGGAGGCCTGGCCTGCCACTTGTCTCTACCAAGCAAAAGCAGAGAACAAGGGATGCCCCTGAGAGATGGCGCCTTCAGCTGAGCTGCATTCCTGCCCTTTCATATCATTTTCCCCTTTTTTGTAACTTTTTTTAATTAACGATAAGAAAAAATAAAAAAGGAAAACAAGTTTAGGGAAATAATAAATACAGTAATAATTAACAGGGTTCAGGGTTTATATCAAAAATAGCTACAAATGTGGTGTAAGTGGTAAATGAATAAAACAAAATGGAACGAAAAATTGGCGTGTACGTATCTGCGTGCGAGCGCATGAGCGCGCCTAAGTGCGTACTAAAGTGTGGATAAATACTTCCTACGGCACCTTCCCACCTGGTATGCACATTAGGGGGGGCCCAAGGGGGATTAAAAGTAAATAAACCCACATTTACTGAAAAATCGCCTAACCCTTTACGGACAAAAAAAGTGCAAAGGGGTACACATCTGTATACACACACATATTATATATGTATGCAGAACAAATCGTCGGAGCGATGCGTGAATGCGGGGTACTCCTCTCTTGGGACACACCTCACGCGTGACTACCCCCTTGGACAAGCGTCACCTTTTCGGTAAAAAAAAAAAAAAAATTTCCACTTGACAGCGGTTTGCACTGTGCAATTTGTCTACTTGTGGGGTGTTTTCGTTTAACATTTCACTATGTTGCGCTTTTTCGCCTACCTCTGGTCACGTTTTACTTTGCCTCGTTTCTCTTCTGCGCACAGCTGCCCTCAGCCGCTAAGCCTACTTATGCGAGTGGCCGAAATTCTTCCCCCTTGGGGGATAGACATGCGAACCGTCAATACGATTGCACATATGTTCCTCCAGGTCCTTTCGCAAGTGGTTTCTAACACTGTCGTCTGGCACTGTTGTGTACCAAATTTCTATTCTTACGTACCCATGACGCGTGGTGCTTAATTTATCCACTAGCCTAATCCCTGTTATTAAATTGTAATGTTTTAAAGTGCACCCAATAATAGCTAACACAAGGTTATTCCAAAATTCGTCTATCTGACTATATGGGAAATCTCTGGGTACAAATTTATATTCAAAATGACCACCTTCAGCATTAGCTGGGTCTTCCCACATGGGTTGAATATTGTCTCGAAAAATCATAAGAGCATCTATAATGCGAAGAGTTCCATCTTCTGATAATCTCGTCATACTTTTTTGTGCAAGTAGGTCACTTGGCTGAGGTAATCTGTTCCATAGTTGCCAAAATTTCTGTACACTATTAAATTTTGCCAATGGCCTTGTATAATCCTTATAGTTATTACTTTGTTTAATTTTGTTGTCTGACACTTGTTCCCATATGACCCAACTGTACTGTAGTAGCAGTGGGTTCGCAAGGTCTATCTTTGTTGCTTCTAGCTTTTCACATAGGTCAATTGCATCCTTATTACTTCTATTAAAAGTTAGGTACTTCATTTTGCTAACAGGGTGATATATATGTGGGGCGGTGAGTTGTTATTCTGTTTTACAGTTGTTTGCTTTATAACGATTTGCTTCAGGACTGTTTTCCAAGCGTATATGTTTATGCGTGTGAGTGGATATTTTCCCTTTCCAGCGCGAAAAACGGTGTTTTCTGTTTTGTTTTTCCCAGTCTTCTTTTTACGCAGTTAATTTCTTTCCCTTTTGAGAAACCCACAAATGGAGGGGAACGGCGGCTCAGAAAATGTGCCGTTTGAAAAAGTTGACTTTTCACCCTTTACGCGAAGGGCATGCAAAAAAAAAAAAAACAAAATAAAAAAAATAAGGTACCCGTCAGGGGCTACATGTACAAACGTACGCCGATATATGCATATGCGCAGTATATGTCCCTTCTTTTCCCCTAAGCATAAGTTGAGAAGCCGTTCACAAATGTATAATTTTATATATACATATACGTATGCGTATAACACGCTTTGCAAACGTCCGATCGTGCAAAACGAAATTCCCGTTTATTCACATGCTGTTTTATACAGAATGATGCGAAGTCCTTTATTGTTTAGCCGTTTTTTTAAATCCTTGGGCCTTCAAGCCAACGAAAAATGAGGGAAAAAAAAATGTTAAAAAAAAGTTAAAAGGGCCACTAACGCATCGATAAACGTCGCAAAGTGGGAAGCAAAGAAAAAAAGAAAAGTGATAGCTCTGTGGGTACATAAAAATGTATGTAAATATATACATAAATATATTATATGATTTTTTTTTAAGTTATTTTTTATTCATTTATTTTTTTTTTTGTTGCAGTGCGTCCAAAGCGAAAAAAGGAAAAGCCCACATCACCGCAACGAAAAAAATTGTGAAGAAATGTATAAATCAACGTGACGCGGTCAGCTCATTTTTTTTTTTTTTTGCCATTTTTTCCAGGTATGCTATAAATAGAACTCTACCTATTTTTTGAAAAAAAAACGCAACCGAATAGGCAAATCTTAATTGGAAATGCCCCCAAATTAATCTTATATTACTTCGAAAAAATATACCGCATGGCATCCGTACTGCATTGAACACCCTACATGGTAATGTTTGCTTTAGGAAGGAAAAAAGTTATAAAACTATTTTTTAGTTTAACCGTTTTGCATGCATAATAATAAATGAGGGGTTTTCCACGGTTTACAGTTTTCACTCTTTCTATAGTTCAGAGTTTTTTTATCTTTGCAGAAGATGAAAATTTATAGGCATTAACATGCGTCCTCTCTCTCTCTACATTCTACGGAGAATTAAGGAAGGGATATAGTTCCCCAATTTGTTATCTAATTAGCTCGAATTGTAGAAAATAAAAAATAAATGGATGGCGTTGCGATGCGCAGCGATAGGCAGCGGATATCTTTGCATAGGCAGGAAAATTGCTTTTCTTACCCATTTTCATTTTCGGCATGATAACAACGTACACTTTTATATTTTAAGGTATCGCGCACAGACTCGCGAGAACACAGCGGTTATTTTAATTTATTTTGCTGGCGTGTTTGTTCGTCCATTTTACCTGTTCATTCGTCTGTTCACCTTTTTACCACTCCCGCTTAAATACGCTTAATCGAAGTATAGACTTGTGCAACCACTTCTAGACCTCGTATTTTTACATGCATATAATTCATTCTTGCCAACGTTAAAAGGAAACCTCAAAGGGAAAGAAATGCTGGTGATAATGAAAAATAAATGTACCCTTTAATGACCATGCAGGGTAAACTAGGGCAAATAAGTCTAAAACGTCACATTCGAAAGTTTGAACAGATGTTTTAACTTATATTTGTGCATTAAATTTGAGGGGAGTGTTTCAGGTCCCCAAAATTGGAAGTTTAATTTTTTATTATAAGGGTGTCTTTATTTAAACTGATATATGTTCACATTTTTTACCGCCAAATTCAGAGACGTTTTAAACGTCTACTTGAATCACTTGTAAGAGCTAGGAAATTATAGCTGCATACATTTTTGCTTGAACGTGAGGGAAAAAAAAGAAAATTATTTTCCAGACGGGTTCACAACTGAGGCGAAGAGAAATGGGACATGCACATACACGCTCTCATTTCAGGGATTTCTCACTTATTTTTAAACCGTTTTGGGAAAATATTTATCATGTTAACAGTAGCATTTCTTACTCGTTTAATAACACACCTAGGTTTTTCTTTGCTATATATGCCATTACGTAAGGTTACTGAGTATGCGGTGCTCACCCTTTTTTTTTATTAGTTTCTATTTCCACCATATTGCGTTCTTTGTTTTATCATAAAAGGGGTTATAAAATTAGGGAAGTTTTCTCTTAAAATCGATGACGATTAGCTGTCTTTTTTTTTTTTTTTTTTTTAAGTAATTTTAAAAATTAAGATGGAAATCGCAACAATGAACGAATTAGTGGAAAAGTGGGCAACACGCTCAATAGCAACTTCTGTGCTGAGAAGGTGGACATGTAAGTACGTTTTTTACTTCTCGAAAATGACTACCACAGTGAACTTTAAAAATATGTAACTACCCGTAATGTGGCATTGGTTGCTAGTTTGTGTATTCCCCAAAGGAATTTTCACGAACGTTTCGAAGAAAGCAGCGCAAGCAGGTGTCTGAACAAATAACTCTATAAATATGTACATATATGTGCACATATACATATGGACAAATTAAGCTTTTTATATATTTGGCTGGATGCTGCATCCAACACGATTGTTCGGCTGCTTAGTCATTTTTATTACGAAGAAAAGAATATAGCTTTTTTTCTTTTCCCCCTCTTTTTCTCTCTAAGCTGTAAAGCAGGGCAACAAGCAAATCAATTTGAAAAAACAAAATGTTAAAAGGTTGAAGAAAAAAAAAAAAAAAAAAAAAAAAAATGAAGATGAAACATGAATAGTCAGCTAAACTAGCGAAAATGACTTTTATGTTAATAAACTTAGCAATATATTATGTGCAGACAAATATAAAAAGTATCCGTGTCTACATTTTTTTTTTTTTTTTTTTTTTCTTTGTTCAGGTAAAAATGTAGACAGAATAGCTGTCCAAGGAATAATTCCCACAAAACACGAACAGCTACGAATGTAGAAAAAGTCTGTTCTTTTTAAGCTAATAACCGTAATTGCAGTTATGCTCATATTTTATAAACCAGAAATGGAGATTAGGAAAAAGACAGGGGACAACTCACAACTTTTTAGCTGTATGGTTAGCTAGCTATTTGAAAAAAAAAAAAAAAAAAAAAAAATTTACAACATTACAACAACTTCGATTTAAAAATTAACTTTTACGCCTATCGTTATTATTCTTTTCATTTTATTTATTAATTTGCTTATTTATTTTCTCATATACATATTTTTTTCTGCAAAAGTTTATAAATTGTACAATTTTTAACTTTTTATTTCTCCATCATTACAAGTTTCTTATGTCTAATTTAACAGTGCATGTTTCTTCGTTTTTTTTTTTTTTTTTTTCGTTCTTGTCGTATTTTTCATCTCCCATTTTGTTTCGTTGAACATTTTTTTGTTTGACTCCATTTTCCATGTGTGTTCCTTTACGGGCTTTCACCTTTTCAAGAGCACACAACGGACTTTCACATACCCACTTTTTCCAACGCAGCTTTAATAAATATCCATTTTTTCCGAATTTGTTTCTCTACTTGAAATATCTTTCATTCTTCATGTTGTCCTAGTTCTTCTCTTATTGCATGATACATTTTTTCAAGATTAATTTTGCTTCCTCTTTTTTAAGCGTAAATGCAAAAAGGTACATCAGATTTAACCTTTAAAAAAAACAAGTGAAGGACAAATGAACAAGTCTTTTCTGTTAATAGCTTCCTACTTCTTCCTTGTTGTTCATCTTGGCACGGTGATAACACAGCGTAGCCAAGATGTATCTTCTCATCAGTACGTCCACCTGACAGGGAATGGCCGCAGCGTAAAGAAGGTCACCCTCGATAATGACATACCTGAGGGAGAAATATTAACAAAAAAACAGTCTTTTCTTCAATATAACACTTTAGCAGCAGGATCACCACCGCCACCATGCGTGGGTGACGACGACTGCTTTTGTAAGAATTTTTACGACTTGACTTTAATTATTGACGAATCTGGAAGCATAGGAATTAGAAATTGGGAAAATCATGTCATCCCATTTACAGATAAAATTATAAAGGACTTACATATTAGCGAAAATGAAGTACACGCAGGAATTTTGTTGTTTTCCAACTTAAACAGAGACTACGTTACCTTTGATGAAAGCGAAAGCTATAAGAAGGATAAGCTTTTGAAAAAAGTGGACGAGCTAAAAAAAAAATATGGTTCTGGAGGTGCAACCAAAATTGTCTCAGCTTTGAAGTACGCATTGGATAAGTACACTAACCATAAGAAAGCGAGACCAAATGCCCCCAAAGTAACCATACTTTTTACTGACGGAAACGACACTTCCCCAGGAAGCTCTACTAAGCTCCTTGATATGGGATTAACGTACAGAAAACAAAACGTAAAATTGTTAGTTCTTGGTGTTGCAGCAGCGAAAGACGTTAATTTAAGAGCAATAGCTGGCTGTGCAGATAAAAATGCCCCTTGTCCATATGCCATGAAGGCGGAATGGGAAACTATAAAGGATATAACAAAAAAGTTAACGAACAAAATATGTCACACGGAGGACGAAGACGAGGAGATCACCACTCCTCCTCCTACCCCCCCGCAGCAAAATCCATGCCAAGGAGATGACTGTTTTTGTGAAGACTACTACGACTTAACTTTAATCTTAGATGAATCTGGAAGTATTACCCTGAATAAGTGGAAAATTGACGTTGTCCCCTTTGCAGAAAAGGTAGTAAGTAATTTAAACATAAGCAAAGACAAAATACACGTAGGCATTATGCGTTTTTCTATTAAGGTAAAAGAAGATGTTAGTTACGCACAGGAGACGAGATACGATAAAAATGCCTTAATAAATGTAGTTAAAGGATTGAAAGACCAATATGGAAGCGGACGAGGAACCCACCTTGTGGATGCCTTAGAACACTCGCTCACAAATTTCACGAAACATCCAAACAATAGACGCAATGCACCTAAAGTGACCATTTTATTCACGGATGGCAATGAAAATTACAGACGATCCAGCGACGTTCGCGATATAGGATTGAAATATAGGAAGGAAAACGTGAGACTCATTGTGGTAGGGGTTTACAGAGCTACCATAAAGAGTCTAAAAATGTTGGCTGGCTGCGATGAGAATGAGCATTGCCCACAGGTCATCAAGTGCGATTGGGACCAGCTGACCAGCATAACGGAGGTGATCACGGATAAGATATGCGACATAGATGCGGGGGATCTGCCGTCTTTGCCAGACGATGAAAAGAAACCGGACAGTTCGGACAAACCGGGAAATTCGGAAAAGCCAGAGGGCTCGGAAAAACCGGGCTCTGCAGACCCCGCAGTCCCCACCGAACCAGACCAGCAGCATCCCCCACCTTGCATAGACTGGGACGACTGCTACTGCAAACACTTCTACGACCTAACCCTAATTTTGGACGAATCGGCAAGTATAGGCAATTTCAGATGGAGCCACGAAGTTGTTCCGTTTGCAACAGAAATTGTAAAATCATTACACGTGGGGTACGACGCAGTGCACGTAGGCCTCTTACTCTTTGCTCACTCAAGAAGAGACATTGTGAGATTTTCCGACGAAAGCAGATATGACAAATCGTTCCTGTTGCAAAAGATAGAGGGCTTAAAAGGGGATTACAGAAACGGGAAGAAAACCTTCATTGTGCAAACCCTGGTATATGCATTAGCGAATTATACAAAAAGCTCAAGTAGAGTTAAGGCCCCAAAGGTAACGATGATCTTTACAGATGGTAATGACTCCAGCCGGTCAGATGAGGAATTATACAAGACTGGCTTGTTGTATAGGAGAGAAAAGGTGAAGTTACTAGTGTTAGGCGTTTCTATGGCTGATGAGAATAAGCTAAGGCTACTAGTGGGCTGCGCGCGAAGTGCAAATTGTCCATTTGTGATTAAGGTCGAGTGGGGACAATTGCCCAGTGCGTCAAACGAATTCGTGAGGAGAATATGCAGCTCTGGTCCTGTAATACCTCCCGACGTTGGAAGCAGCTCACCACCACCTGAGGTGGACACCCCCACGGACCCAGAACCAGGTGTTCCTCCATGCCAGGGAGATGAGTGCCTTTGTCAAAGCATGTACGATTTAACTTTAATTCTGGACGAATCAGCAAGCATAGGATACTCGAATTGGAAAAAGCAAGTGTACCCTTTCGTGGAAAAGCTCGTAAACAATTTAGAAGTTGCGGAGAGCAAGATCCATGTGGGGATTATGCTATTCGCTAAACATATGCGAGATTTTGTGAAGTTTTCTGAGAAGGAAAGTTATGAGAAGGACAGTTTAATGAGGAAAGTCCCCGAGTTGAGAAGCACATATAAGGCTGGGTCATACACTTACATAGTGGAGTCTCTAGAGCATGGCTTACAACATTATACCAAGGGGCCAAGCAGTAGGGCACATGTACCCAAGGTGACCATCTTGTTTACGGACGGGAATAACAGCAAGTCTGGAGATGAAATTTTGTCCAACGTGAGTTCCCTGTACAAAAAGGAGAACGTGAAACTGTTGGTGCTTGGTGTTGGCGCTGCAAGTATGCCTAAGTTGAGACTACTGGGGGGATGTCACAAGACCGAGGGAGATTGTCCCTTTGCTATAAAGACGGAGTGGGACAGTCTGAAAGATATATCACAGGGGATGGTGGACAAGATATGTGACACAGATACGGAGATAATCCCACCACCACCATCATCAGGAGGAGCAGGAGGGGGCGAAGTAGCGCCTCCATCATGCACAGGTGACGAATGCTTCTGTAAAGACTACTTCGACTTGACATTTATAGTGGCCCCGTCCATGAAGAAAAATAGCAGAAGGAAGGACGAAGTTACGAAATACGTTACGAAAATTGTTAATGCGTTTAACGTAGGTGAGAAGAACGTGCATGTGTCTCTTTCTCTACACTTGGGCGCGAAGACGATGAACACGGACTTTGACAATCAGGTGGCAAAGGACAAGAAGGAACTACTGAACGCGTTAGAAATCATATCGGCGGAGTATGTGAATTTGGGCAGAAAAACGAACATTGCGGAAGCTTTAACCGTAGGGTTAAAGCAGTCATTTTCGACTGGGCACAGAGAAGACGCCCCCAAGGTAGCGCTGCTACTAACAGATAGTAACAATGATGTGTCTGAGCACGGGCTGCTGCAAACCATGTCCAAGCAGTACGCAGATAGGAAGGTTAAACTGTTGGTGGTAGGAATAGGGAAGCTACCTGAGGAGGTATTATTCATCGCGGCGGGATGTAACTTGAGCAGTAGTGGAGGCGGTAATCAGACTTGCCCCAATGTCTTCATCTCTGCTGGATTTTCATACATAAACAGCGTGGATAAATTTTTAAGTAGAAACATATGTGAAGCTGTTGATGGTGGTAGTCCTCCTCCTTCTTCTTCGCTACCACCCCCAAGTCTCCCATGCCAAGATGACGAATCATGTGCAGAGTGTGACGACGACGTATGCAATAATGACCCGACCTGTAAAAAAGTTTTCGACATAGCAATCGTGATAGATCAATCACGTAGTATCACGAATGATCAGTGGAAGAAGTACGTAAGGCCTTTCTCGACTTACGTCATTAAGTCGAATTACTTGGCCAAAAATAGGACTCATGTAACTGTGGTCAAAATGGGAAGGACAGCAAAGGTGCTATGGAAATTAGGAAGGAAGGTTAGTTACAAAAAAAATCAAATGATTAAGAAGGTGAACAGATTGGTTAAATCATCATCGAGTAGGAAAGACATCGCCAGTAATTTGAAACACCTACGCGAAAAGGTATTCAGCAAGAAGACGTCTTCTTCCTCCAACAGAAGGAGCAGGCAGCTCATCATTATGTTAGTGGAGGGAAAATCCGATACCGATTTGAATGAGTTGCGAAGAGAAGTAGCGCTGCTCAAAGTGAATAACATTGACCTGTTTGTTTATGCCATAGATAACATCGATGAGAAGGAGTACAGAATACTTGGGGATTGTGAAAATGCTTCATCCGGGGTTTGTAAAAACGCTGTGAAGGTAACCTGGGACAATTTACTATCTTCTGAAGAGATACATAGCAGCTACATATGCAACAAATACCCTGTAGATGCTGAATGTGCCGAATGGGGTGAATGGAGCCCATGTCCAGACAACACTGCCTCTACGTGTAACAATTTGGCCGTTAGTAAAAGGGAGAGAAAGGGGCCACCATATACATTAAAGGAGGAAGAATATATAAATGATGGTCATAACATGATGCATGGGAACTCATGCACAGATTTGAACTCCATTGAGTATAGAGCTTGCCCTGTTACGGAGGAGTGTAATGATGTGTGCGGTGATTTTGGCGAGTGGAGTCAGTGCAATGCGACTTGCGGGGATGGAATAAGGACGAGACACCGAGCCGGAGCAGGACGCACAGCATCCGGTGACACCCCACTGGCAGCCTCTTTCAAAGATGACCAAGCCGATTCATGTCAGCTGTTCAACGCGACCGAGGTTGAAGCGTGCAATGTCCAGGATTGTGATTCTGCAGAAATATGCGAGGAAGTCGGGGAGTGGGGCGAATGGTCCACATGTTCCAAGACTTGTGGATACTCCACGAGAAGGAGAACCTTCGTCATTCAGCCAGAAGACATAGACGAGTATGCGCACTGCTCGACGTTTGAAAAGTCCGAAACGGAGGTGTGCTCGGTTCCTGCGTGTGAAGATGAGAAGTGCTTCGAGTGGGAGGAGTGGACCGAGTGGTCGGCGCCTTGCGGGCCCCGGAAGAGGGTGCAGCGAGCCCGCCTTTTCTCCAATGCTAGCAGTGGCAGCAATGGCAACAATGGAAGCAGCGGCGGAGCGCCGCGCCCACAACCGAACCCAGCCGGCCAGGTGAACGAGTGCGAAGGTTACTATGAGAACAAAGTCGAGCGTGATGACGGATCTAACGGCATCCCTTGTACGGACAACCCCTGCGGAAGCTGGTCGGAATGGTCCGAGTGTGACCGCACGTGTAACGTCGGAATGAGGATGAGGCGCTTTATTTCGAACGTGACTGGTTTTGTAGGAGATGATAAGGATTTATGTTTAGAATATCACAACGAGATAGAGACGGAGCCATGTTTGGACTTACCTCTTTGCGATGATGGTGAGTGTAACGAGTGGGAGACATGGGTTGGATGCGGCGAGGAGGAGCAGGCGGGATCGAGGTCGGCAACGTCGTCGCGGGCAGCCAACTCATTGCCATGGGGAAGAGGTTCCACATCTTGCCATGCCGCACCGAGGAGAAGAATCCTCACGAGAAAACTAGAGCTGTTGCAACACAGAAAAGCGAGCACATCGCAGTTTTGCAGCGACTACAACTTATTCAGAGAAGAAGAGTGCCCAGTGTTGGGTGGCGGCGCCACCCCGTGCAACGACGCGCTGTGTAACGAGTGGGAAGATTGGGGAGAGTGTTCCACGACGTGCGGTGCGGAATCATTTAGAGTTAGAAGGCGAAAAGAGCCCCTGGAGCTGATTCCCCCATCGGAGGATTTGGATGGGAACATGGGGCTGACTTGTGAACAGCAGAATATAAGAATAGAGGAGCGCGAAGCCTGCAGTGTGCCGGCGTGCGCACCGCCATCGGGAGCAGGCAGTGGTGGTAGTGGAAATGCAAGCGGAAGTGGCAGTGGAAGCGGCAGTGGAAGCGACAGTGACGGTAATGGCGGCATGGGGACCGGGGAGAAGGTGTCTCTGGCCGCAGGCATCCTCGGGCTCGCGGCCCTGGGTGTGGGTGGGATGATATACGGTTACAACACCCTGACTGGAGGCGAGGCCCCGCACAGCTCCAACATGGAATTCGAAAACGTGGAGGCCGAAGGAGCAGAGGCGGACAAGTCCAATGAAGAGTTTGAAGTGATTGACGCCAACGACGCCATGTGGAACTGAGGGCATGTGCACTCAGACTCAGTATGCTCCCATTCTAATGGCAGCACATGCGGAGAGCAGATATGGACGAAATTGAGTTACGTTCACAAGTTTGCCCCCCCCACCCCGCTGCGCCATTTTTTTTTTGTAGAACCGTTTGGCTCGCTTAGAGCGCTGTTTTGGCTTACTGTCCCAGGTACCTTGTAAAATGTACTCGCAAGGTAGGACATTAGGACATTTTTTTTTTTTTTTTTGTTTTTCTCTCTCTCTGTTCATGGGAAATTTGTTACATAATTTTGGCACATAACACGCATAGTAGACTTAAAAAAGGCGTTCCATTTTTCGGTAATTAGTTTGCCGTTCTGTCCATGCTGTATATAGTATTAGGTGGGATAACGCATTGGCACATATGTATGTATGGGACAATGTGTGTGCGAACATGCAGGAGGCGGTTTGCTGAACAAAAGGAGCACTACACATAACACCCTCTCCATCGAGTTGGCACTTTGCAAGCGCGGGGAAAAAGTCCACTCACGCTAATTTGACAGAGCGTGCGCAGACCTGCGTAATGTAGTAGCATACACGTGCACAGGTGGTTCGTAATAGAGGGGGGGCGCGAAATTAGCTCCAGTTTGAGACGCACATAAAGATAGAGTACACATAAAAATAAAGCAGCCTGTGCAGATGCAGGTATTATAGCGCGCTGTGTCCCGATAACATTCTTTTTAGGGGAAAACTTCGCTCAACAAAAATGAGAAGGATAAACGACATGTCCATTGTTTAATAGGATTTAATTAGGGACTTTTTTATTATTTTTTTTTGCCGCAAAATGATTCTGTGCAAATGGTGAAAAAGGTGCATGCTTTTTACTCACAGAAGGGCTAAGTGCCGATTTTTAAAAAAAAAAAAAAAGGTCTTCTCAGGTGCGTTGGGAGGGGTGTCTGGGTAAGTGTTTCAGTCTTATTCCGTTTAATGGCTGGCTTTTGTAAATGAACTCTGCCCCTTAGCGTCTTTTCTCGGAATCCATTCCCCCCCGTCCGGGATTACATACATATACAAGTGCGAATACACTTCTTACACTCCCATGGAATGTCTAGACAAGTCGTGAACAGAAATGGATCATCAGCATTGTGTGGAGTGTACCAATTTTATGAAGGAAAAAAAAAAGGATGGAAGGGGTCCTCATTTGGAAAAGCTCCCCATTGATGTTAACGGTGAGAAGTTCCGCCAGGATTTTAAGGGTTACTTGAAGAATGTGAACCAAGCATTTCTGCACTCGCGCCATGAAGTGTTTTCCGCTTGCAACTGGAGCAATTTGGAAAGGGTAAGCATTCCCAAGAGGGGAAGAGGCGACTTGGGCGGAGAAAAGGCCGCTGAAATGGGGAAGTATTCTCACACCTTGGCCAACCTTTACACTTAATGCAGGTCCTAGCCGATTACGGGTCCAGCGATGTTGTAAAAGCGTTTAGTGAGAGATTGGGTTGTGCGCGCAGGTACTCCTGAGAGAAAAAGGCGGAAATTTCTCCACTCCACCATTTTACTTACACCAATTTATTCTCTTTTCCCCTCCCTATTTTGTACACACTCTACATTTCTCTCATGTGATGCTCATCGCAGTTTTAGGCTGGAGTTGACAGAGAGTTATAAGATGCACAAGGAGGATCAGTACATGGTATCAACTTTGCAATTAAAAAAAAAAAAAAAAAAGTGGCATAAGTTTCCTTGCATCATAAATTTGTGTGCAATTCGTTTTCTCGACTTGACTAAATCCTTGAAGTGTTGGAGTGGAAATTAAGTCAACATCACATCCGGGCACTTCGTTTTTTTTAGGAAAGCACTTTGGAGAGGGAGAGCCACATTAGACACCGCAAATTAAAACAGAGGTAACTTTATTAGTAGCCGAGTCTTCTCTTGGAAGTTTTTTTTTTTTTTTCTCCCCCATGTTTGGCATATATTTTTCCCCCTCTTCGTCATTGTAAACAAATTTAGGCACTACGAGCAGATGGAGAAGCAGATGTTCGCGCGGAACCAGAGGGAGTACAGGGACTTCGAAAGGGCAGAGCTGGTAATTAGGCGGGGAGGGGAACCCTTCGTAATTGCGTCGCTTACATGTGGTTTGCTTACATTCGGGTTGCTTCCATTTGTACCGCCTCCCCACACACTTTGCAGCAAAAAGAGCGCAAAGAGGGGAAACAAAAAATGCAGGGCGTGGTGAAGAACATCATCCACGCCGCGTTCAAGGTTGCACAAATCGGAACCACCTACGGCGATGCCTATTTTTACAACACTTTGTTCTCCTTGGAAAAGTTTTTTTTTATGAGGAAAATAAAAAATATGAGTGAGCTTTCTCAAAATAACACCCGCATAAATGAGCTAACTGTGGCGAGCACGCCAATGGGCGTGATTCAGAAAGGGGAGAAGAAAAAAGGGGAAAAGGAGCAAAAAATGGAGGGGAATATAAATGGGGGGACGTCTACGGGACGCTTCCTTCGGGGCTCGCCTAACCAGCTGAATTTTCTGAGATGCCAAGGGACCGTGGACAGTTTTTTCCTCCTGGATCTGCAAAACGTGTCAGGTTCGCACAGGGGTGACACCTGCATACACACACACACGTAGACATGGTCCAATTTGGTTCATTTTTCCCAAGTGGACTCCATTCCACTCTTCTTATCACCCCACCACCAACAACACACACATACACATAGCAGGAAAAGAACACAGCACAGAAAAACGTGCATACGTGCATATGTTGACGTATCTAGCTAACCAAGGCGAGATGTCTGGAGTGAACAGGAAAGAACTCCATTCAGAACATCCGGATATACGTTATGGAAAGCGCTACTCCGATTATAGAGCAAAAATGTTGGAGGGTCTCCCACAGGTCGATATGAATTACGTAAAGGAGAGAATGGTAAGAAGACGTTGAAAAAGGGACAGAGCAATTTGTACACACATATATCTGCACTGGCATTTTTTCCCCTCTCTCTTTGTTCTTCATGCATGTTCACTGTTCTTCTCCTCAGGAGGATAAACACTTTTCCACTTTTCCAATGGATGTTCTTGAAGAAAGTTAAATTTTAAGATGCCCCTTCAAAAATAAATGTGTCTTTTTTTAACCATGTGATGTTGCGATTTCACCAAAGAGGGCTTGTGTGTATCCTTACTACTACAAGTGAATGCAGCGATATGACATTACCACTTTTGCTTTTTTTCATTTCCCTCCAAATTAGAAGTTAAAGAATTACCACTACTTAAGAGTTTACTGTTGACACTGTTTAAAAAAAGGTTCGATTGGAAGGCACATGAGGAGGCAATCCCTTCTCCCCTTAGCTGTTATATCATCTCGATGAGAATTATATCTACTACGATTCTATGTACCAATTTTTTTTTTTTTTTTCTACATTTCCAGCCCAAGGGAGAGGCATTCCTGGGGGAAGTCCACATTGCCGGTAAAAATTGCAATCACCGGGAAAATCAAAAAAGGTGGGTCAAAAAAAAAAATGGGTTCAATTTGGCACACACACACATACACAAAACGGAGAGCATACGGTGCCCAGACAAATGAGGAGATATATAACTGTAGTAGGTGGCCTTCTCAAATAGAGTTTAATATAAGCAGAGCTTCTCTCCCACGGCTGTGTCCACTTGGTACCTCTTCCCCTGTTTGTAGACGCGGAGAGGTTGGCTGAACATCTAAGGAGGACATTCCGCCTGAAGGTGTACAACGTTGATAATATAGAAGAGGACGTCCGACGGATCTGCAGCAGAGGGAGCAGTCACGATGGTAAGTCAGCAGGTGGAGTGTAGCCAATAAATGAGGAAAAGGGAAAAATTATAATTATAAAAAAAAAAAAAAAAAAAGCTTTGCCGCACCAACGTGCTATTATCACACCGACGTGCAGACCCCAGGGAGGAGACAACTACACACACACAAATGAACAAAAAGAGAATCGCCAGGAAAATAAAAAGGATTGCTCAAACATTAAGACAAAAAAATTATAAAGAAAAAAACAAGGACAGTTTGTACGCCGATTTATTATATTACATCATAAAGTATGATTATGATCTGTTTCATGTGAGCAGAAGGAGGAGGAAGAAGAAGAAGAGCCAAGGGTTAATAATGGAATTGTCCACAAACGAAGAAACAAAGAACTCAAAAAGGAACAAGTACAAAGGATACATCATTGTTAATTTTTTTTATTCCCTAAAACAATACGTCCTGTTTGAGCTGAAAGCGAAGAAGCTTTTTATCTTCAACGATTTTTTACATGAACATGTTCGTAATTTACAAAGGGAGAAAATAACACGTGATGATATCCTCCAAACCAATAACAATCAACCAGAGCTGCAAAAACAAAAGGGAGACTCGAAAAAGGGAGTGAACTATCCTTGTAGGAAAAGTTCTATAAACGGAAAGAATAAACCTAATGGTAAAAAAAAGCAAAATGGTAAAGCTGGCACAGGGGTGAGTCGTCTCCTCCCCAATGATATCGAAGTTGATGGAGAGGAGGAAGTCACAACAGAACAGTTTCGAATCAACGACATGGAAAAAAAAAACATTTTATTCTTCTCCAATTTTATTTGCAACATTGATGATGAGAATCGGGTCAAGGGAAGGCACCACTTCTCCGGGGCCACTGACTTACACTTTTATGTAAATAGGAGCAATAGGGAGATGAACAGAATTTTATTTCGCCGTATCACCAAGGGGGAACTCTCCACCGAGGTTGGCAGAGAAAAGGACAAGGCTTGCCATACGGAGGGAAACTTTTCCCCAAAGATAAGTGATGGATTCGTAAAAATGAAAAGAATTAACATGGCTACCCTCCTCAGAAGGGAAAGCGACACTGAATTTGAGAACCCACAAATATATAAAAAAAAACACACAATCAGGTGCAGAATTGTAAGTGCGAAAAGGGTTCCTAAAAGGGCCCCTAAAAAGGCTCCTAAAAAGGCTCCTAAAGAGGCTCCCAAAACGGCTCCTAAAAAGGCACAAGACCAAAAAGACACCAAGTGCACCTTTTCGGATAACCACGCTGTCGATCCTGATGAGGAAAAGTTCCGCTCCAATTTGCATCTAATGAGACAGATTTTCCAGATGGACCGGAACTGCCAAGAGGTAGAAGCATTCCTAAAAGCCTACGATGGGGGGTCCACATACCCACGGTTTCATCTACTGGGGAGGCACCCGTGCAGGTCGGCGAGTCTTCTTCTTTCGAAGGTTTTGCGGAGTGTAGGGGAAGTGGGTGACCCCGGGGAAGGAGACACGAGAAAAGAAGACGCCAAAATGGAGGGTAGTAACTGTGGCGCTAAAAAAGGCTCTCATCCAGGGGAAGACCCCCTCCCACGCAGGATGGACAGCCACACGGCCACCTACTTCAAACTGCGTTACTGTAACGTTATGAAGGAGTACGTATGTCACCTGTTCAACCTCTTCGTGTGGAAAGAAAATTTGAAAAAAAACGTAGAGCAGACGGTTCAACACGTACACAAAAATATGCACACGTTCATAGATGATGTGAATTTTGAACCCATTAACGAAATTATCCAATCTTACAACCGGTTGAGAAAATCTGGGATTCAAAATAAAAAAGTCGAGCTAGTCTTGTGTAAGGAAATAAATGCCATTATGATAAAAACCTGGCTCCATATTTTGAAGAAGAAAAAGGAATCTAGAGAAATGGAAAAAATGTTCATACAAAAATGGATAGACATGAAAATATTTCTTCTGATCTTTTTTGCCTTTTACTCGATCAGCATAGAACATGCGTTGTATATTAATCTGTCCCATTTTGTAAATGAAATGGTGTGTTACTTGCTCAGTGAGGAGGATGGGCGATCTCCTCCATCCAAAAATGAGAAAGAGAAACATTTACTCATTTTTAATTATTTCCCGAAAAGTAAAAAAGATTTCTACTCATTTCAGGGAGATAATTATGACTTCCCATTTTTGCAAAGTGTTCGAGAAGATGTGTGCAAATTTTTAACGGACCATCTGAACGGAAAAAATTCGAGCAAGGCGCGAAGTGATGAGTCGAGTGACCACGATAGCCCTTTCCACACAGGACGTGAAAAGGATATCCTGCGTTTGGCCAAAGAGTTCCATTTCTTAAGCAGCTGTAAATTTGTTCATAAATTTAATTGCCTTCTAAACGATACGGTGTCTACTCTCAGAGCGTACTTTTTCATTTTTCATGACCTTAACAATTACATGAACGATTTCATCGCCTTGCATTACTTCTCCATTTACAAACAAGTCAATATCACCTGCGCGCGGGTTAAAAGGGCCATCCAAAGTGGCAGGCATATCAATTTTTTCTACAAAGGAGGGAGGCTTCGAAAAAGAAAAGAAGAAAGACGTTTTCGGGATGGGAATGGAAAAGGGAGGAAGCCCTCGTGTGGCACTTTGGTCCAATCTAGGCAGGGGAAAGACAATTCAGTGAACACTTCATACAAATCTTCCAGAAGGAGAAAAAAAAAATACAACATTAAAAACGAGGAACATTCCTTTTTTAACATCACCGAAATGAAACACTCTCTGCGAAAAAACATCATGTTTATTTTTTTAAAAAATATCTTAAGTCATATCTTTGTTGAACATCACTCCCTTATCATATCCAGAGAAGACCTCCAAAATTTTATCACAAAGAGTCTCCTTTTTGTAAAGCATAAGACAGAACAAGTTTGTATTTCCAAGTTCATTGGTGGTACTCTCCTAGACACCTACTTCAAAGAACGCACTGTGTCTCCGGAGCCGTTCCTCCTACAAGGAAGTGAGAAAAATGAACATAATGATTCGTCATGTGTCTTTCTTATAACGGAGGGGAAACTAAAAAGATATGTTTTCTTTCCAGACTTTTTTTTCTTTCTTCTTTTTTTTTTCTTCAAAAAGGAGGGCCGTCGTAATTGCGCTCACAAGGTTAGCTCTGCGTGTGTGTCCTCAGGGCGGTCGTTGTATCTGGCTGCCCTATGGGCCGCTTTCCCTTTGGCGCTATCACCTGGTGAACAGTCTACACCTCTACTCACCGCTGCTACCTCCCCCCCCACACGTATGATCAGATTTTCCCGAATTACTTTAACGTCCTGGAACAGAAAATTGCATCGAAGGGACAGCTCAGTGAGAGCGAAAGGCTGCAGGTGCTGAGGGACTGTCTCTCCTTTGGGGCAAGCTTGACTGATGAGGAAAGCCCGCTTGGACGAGGTGGTTTGATTGAGCAGGGTGTGACCACAGGGGTCGGAAGTGGCGGAGAAAAATGTGACTCGGAAGACGCCGCGAATGTTTTCGCAGAGGATGCAGCTAAACACGCAGCTAGCCAAAACTGCACAGAAAAAAACCACCTGAACAACACACAAAAAAAAAAAAATTGCGAAGAAAGCATTGACTATTTCACATTCGCACAATTTGCCGCCTTGGGATTATTTGACTTTGCCAAGGACACACAAAAAAAACTCACAAAGGAAGAAACAAAAAAGCAAAACTACGAAATTTATCTGCTGAATAGATTTGTTTTTAATTTTTTATTTTCGCTTAGTTTATTTCCTAATTTTTACGAACATGTCCAAATTTATGTAAGAAAATATTTGTTGAAAAAAAATGCAGAAGTGGTCTCCTCCTTTGAAAAGTGCGTCATGGAGAAAATGAAGAGTACAGGGGGGAGAGAATATGTCCACGTCGCCCCTGCGCAGGCATGGGGGGAGGGAGTAAATGATTTGAGAAAGGGGCAAGACCATTCTACGACCATGTTTAATACAAAAAAAAAAAAGGTATGAGGGAGGGGTTTGGGTGTGGCCGCGTGTGCAGTTGCGTTGGCACAGGTGCCTATGTGTGCTGACGAGCACGCACGCAACTAAACACGGGCGCCCTTACCCCTTTTTAACACTCCTTCACAGGTGCGGGTAAAAGAAATACTCATTTTTTTTCACACCAGCTATCATTACGACTGTTAAAAAAAAAAAAAGGAGCGAAATAACTTCAAAGAGACAACTGTGAAACTTCGGTACAACTTCAGCGACGCCAGTAAGACAATTGCTCACCATTCGGGAAGCATTAAATTCGATAATGCCTCTCGTGTAATAGCCAGTGATTTAAAAAAAAAAAAACAGGTGTGTGGGGGTGGTTGTGGGCAAGAGTTCACGAAGGGGAGTGTCTTTTTCCCCTACACGCATCGCGCAGGCAAAAAACCCCTTTTGTCTCTTGAGTCCACAGCTTCACTGCCAAGGTGACGTTTTGCACCATACACAGGCAGGGGCAACAACAATTAACATCGCGCTTGGTCCCACCTTCAACCCTGAAGAAGGATCCCTAAAACAACGTTTCGTCAAAATTAAAAAAAATCGTGGACTCCAACACACGCTGATCATACTTGTTAAAAAAAATTTCAATAAAATTCTGAAACTTTTTTATGTACGTGGAATTCTGGAACAAGTCCTTCAGATAATCCATGAGAGAAAAATTCGATTCACTTTTTAATTTTTCATTTTTGCCGAAAAGCTCCATTGTACTCTGCTCATTTGCAGCGCTCTCCTGGTTGTCTTCGAAGTTTTCGCCTCTGTGTCGTTCAACCGTTTTTTCCTCCCCGCTATCGTTCCTGCTAGCATGGCCAGCATGGCTAATACTTTGGAGAGTCGTTTCTCCCGTTTGAGCAGCGGGGTAGCTGCTGGGCAGATCTCTGTTCAAGACATTGCCAGTGGGGAAGCCCCCCTTGCGTCGGCTGTTGTGCACTCCTTCATCGTGACTTCCATTCGTCATTGCACTGTAGATGGCATCTCCCACCCCGTCGTAATTCGTATTATTAAACTGAGTTCCCTGCACACCCTCCATATCACCCCCTTGGTAATCATATTCCCTTATATTCCTTTCCTCCATCTGTGCCTCATTAGGATATAACGTCTTAAATAACTTGTTCATATTTTTTTTTACCTTGGTAGGATTTTTTTCCTTTCTGGGGTTGCAGTAACCCTCATGAGCGCTTTGATCAGTTCTCTTCAAATGGCTTTCCTTTCTCTCCTTAGTTCGCATAGGTGTAAAAAAGACGTGCCCATGTTCTTTTGTATTCTTGGTTTGGCTAAGTGAGTAAGCAGCTGTGCACTGAATAATCAGTACCAAGTAAAGGAGCAGCTTTACGACGGAATTATTACTCTCCATTTTGAAGCTCGATAGGGATCCGTGCCTTTTTGCGCGGGCATGCCAAATTACATGAATGGGGGGGGCGGGGGGTGGAAAACAGCGGTCCAACTGGTAGGTTCACGTACGGTCTGGGTGAGCCTTCGCTTCAGTCTCGCTGCAAGCATGTACAAGTGCATACGAGGGTGTCCATACGGATGACCTTCACCTTTTGCGCGCCTCGGGAGAGAAATGGAGACTTTCGAAAAAAGGTTCTGTGCAGCGGCAATTTGGTTCGAGCAACCCAACTGCTCAGTGTACTTGCTTAGCGTGGTCCCTGGTTCCTTTTTTTTTTTTTTTTTTCCTTCCTTAAGTGGAGAGAGCACGTTTGAGAATCGCTCCCTTTGTGCTTCGCCGACTTGGCGCTCTCCACCCGGTTGACTACACTGGTCCCCAGCGCACTGGCGCAAATCAGTGTGCTCTGTCGTTATGAGCTCACCCCACGACGGGTATCTAACCTCAGTGGTTCATTTACACCCTTGGTTAAATGGATTAACCCAACGGGCCGCCTTCCTTTGGTAAAAAAAAAAAAAAAAAAAAATGGGAGGCCGCGTTTTGGCTTGGCTTCTTCTTTTCTTGTGCGAGTGAAATTCGTCAAGTTACACTTTCACATGGGAGCAGCGAATTAATTCTTTTTCCTTGAGAAGGGGAGAAAGCAAGTCAACAAATGGGCCATGCATGTTGGTATGTTTCACATGTAAGCCCTGAATACGTATGTAATTACATATGCCTTAATCTGATGTGCCTCCTTTTTTTCCTGTGCGATATATATATGTATATCTGGAAGAGAGAGAGGCTCACACAAAATGATTCATTTTGCTGAAACGTTTCGTAAACTTGTCCTTGGAATTTATTCCTGCTTTTTTTTTTTTTTTTGTTTATTTGTTTATTTGTTTATTCGTTTGTTCGTTCGTTTGTTCTTTTTTTTTTTTTTTTTTTTTTT